CTACAAAGGTTTTGGACAGTGATTTTAACCCTAACACCAAAAGCCTTAAACCTTTCCAAAGCCTTATAGCCTAATACCCGGGTATTACCTTCAGGAAGCCCGAACCCCTAAAGATTTTTTTTTTCTTTTTTTTTTGGTCTAACTAACTCCAAAAGGTTGGAAAAGAGTTACTACAAAGGTTTTGGACAGTGATTTTAACCCTAACGTCAAAAACCTTAAACCTTACCATAGCTACAAAACCTAATACCCAGGTATTACCTTCAGGAAGCCCGAACACCCCAAATATTTTTTTCCTTTTTTCTTTTTTTTTTTGGTCTAACTAACTCCAAAAGGTTGGAAAAGAGTTCCTACAAAGGTTTTGGACAGTGATTTTAACCCTAACATCAAAAACCTTAAACCTCACCCTAGCCCAAAAACCTAATACCCAGGTATTACCTTCAGGAAACCCGAAAACACTAAATATTTTTTTTCATTTTTCATTTTTTTTTGGTCTAACTAACTCCAAAAGGTTGGGAAACAGTTCCTACAAAGGTTTTGGACAGTGATTTTAACCCTTACGCCAAAAACCTTAAACCTTACCCAAGCCCCTTAACCTAATACCCGGGTATTACCTTCAGGAAGCCCGAACACCCCAAATATTTTTTTTTCAATTTACATTTTTTTTGGTGTTACTAACTCCAAAAGGTTGGAAAAGAGTTCCTACAAAGGTTTTGGACAGTGATTTTAACCCTAATGCCAAAAACCTTAAACCTAACTGTCACGACCAGCTCGTTAAGGGAGAAGGGAAGCAACATAAAACCGACCAGATGTTAAATGATCAAATCAAGTTATTTATTAACAAAAGTAAAATTGGCAGTTACAAAAAAAAGAGAGACAACAAAGGCCTTAAAGGAAATTTAACAGGTTGCCAAGAAACACAAGGAGCCTCTAACCTAGAGTTAGTTACACAGTAAAATAAAAAGATCTGCTCACATCGGCAAGAAAGGAACTAAAATACAATAACTCAGCCCAAGTGCTGGATACAAAAAGAAAGCAGGTAGGCGTGTGCAAACCAATATGCCTCACAAGCTAAGAAAAAGTCCCAATTCACAATCACAAAGACAATCAGTCTGAGGAAGAGGCATGGGAACTCCACTGGTTACAGCGTGCTTCCCGATCTGCAGGTCCGTTGGAGTTTTATCCACTCCCCCCAAGTGGCTCCTCTCAATTGGCGGAAGCCCTCAGCCAGTCAGTCCTTGCAGTTTCCAGGTGGAGGTGATCAGGCACTTAATTAATCGGCAACCACGGCAACCTGTGAGCTGCAGGCAGCATGCACACACAGGCACACTCTCAAACACACACACACACACACACACACACACACACACACACACACACACACACACACAGAGGAAGACCCAAGACTTGCCACACTAAGGCGGCGGCCTTAGTGTGGCAATACCCGGGTAACCTAATACCCGGGTATTTCCTTCAGGAAGCCCGAAAACCCCAAATATTTTTTTTCATTTTTCATTTTTTTTGGGTCAAACTAACTCCAAAAGGTCTGAAACATGTTCCTAAAAAGGTTTTGGACAGTGATTTTAACCCTAACGCCAAAAACCTTAAACCATACCCTAGCCCCATAACCTAATACCCGGTATTACCCTCAGGAAGCACGAACACCACAAATATTTCTTTTTCATTTTACTTTTTTTTTTTTTGTAACCAACTCCAAAAGGTCTGAAACATGTTCCTAACAAGGTTTTGGACAGTGATTTTAACCCTTACGCCAAAAACCTTAAACCTTACCCTAGCCCCATAACCTAATACCCGGGTATTACCTTCAGGAAGCCCGAACACCCCAAATATTTTTTTTTATTTTTTTTATTTTTTTGGTGTAACCAACTCCAAAAGGTCTGAAACATGTTCCTAAAAAGGTTTTGGACAGTGATTTTAACCCTAACGCCAAAAACCTTAAACCTTACTATAGCCCCATAACCTAATACCCGGATATTACCTTCAGGAAGCTCGAAGACCCCAAATATATTTTTTTCTTTTTTCTTTTTTTTTGGTCTAACTAACTCCAAAAGGTCGGGAAAGAGGTCCTAAAAAGGTTTTGGACACTGATTTTAACTCAAACGCCAAAAACCTTAAACCTTACCCTAGCCCCATAACCTAATACCCGGTATTACCTTCAGGAAGCTCGAACACCCCAATTTTTTTTTTTTTTTTTTTTTGTCTAACTAACTCCCAAAGGTCTGTAACATGTTCCTTAAAAAATATTGGACAGTGATTTTAACCCTAACGCCAAAAACCTTAAACCTAATCCTAGCCCCAAAACCTAGTACCCGGGTATTACCTTCAGGAAGCCCGAACACCCCAAATATTTTTTTTTTCATTTTACATTTTTTTTTGGTGTAACCAACTCCAAAAGGTCTGAAACATGTTCCTTAAAAAATATTGGACAGTGATTTTAACCCTTACGCCAGAAAACCTTAAACCTTATCCTAGCCCCATAACCTAATACTTAAACCTGAAGGGTTTAAGTAACCTTCAGGAAGCCCGAACACCCCAAATATTTTTTTTTTCATTTTACATTTTTTTTGGTGTAACCAACTCAAAAAGGTCTGAATCTTGTTCCTTAAAAGGTTTTGGACAGTGATTTTAACCCTAACGCCAAAAACCTTAAACCTTACCATAGCCCCAAAACCTAATACTTTCAGGAACCCCGAAAACCCCAAATATTTTTTTTTCTTTTTTCTTTTTTTTTGGTCTAACTAACTCCAAAAGGTCTGAAACATGTTCCTTAAAAAATATTGGACAGTGATTTTAACCCTAACGCCAAAAACCTTAAACCTAATCCTAGCCCCAAAACCTAATACCCGGGTATTACCTTCAGGAAGCCCGAACACCCCAAATTTTTTTTTTCATTTTTCATTTTTTTATTGGTCTAACTAACTCCAAAAGGTTGGAAAAGACTTCCTACAAAGGTTTTGGACAGTGATTTTAACCCTCACGCCAAAAACCTTAAACCTTACCCTAGCCCCATAACCTAATACCCGGGTATTACCTTCAGGAAGCCCAAAAACCCCAAATATTTTTTTTTCATTTTTCATTTTTTTATTGGTCTAACTAACTCCAAAAGGTTGGAAAAGACTTCCTACAAAGGTTTTGGACAGTGATTTTAACCCTAACGCCAAAAACCTTAAACCTTACCCTAGCCCCATAACCTAATACCCGGGTATTACCTTCAGGAAGCCCGAAAACCCCAAATATGTTTTTTTTCATTTTTCGGTTTTTTTTGTCTAACTCCAAAAGGTTGGAAAAGAGTTCCTACAAAGGTTTTGGACAGTGATTTTAACCCTAACGCCAAAAACCTTAAACCTTACTATAGCCCCATAACCTAATACCCGGGTATTACCTTCAGGAAGCCCAAAAACCCCAAATATATTTTTTTCTTTTTTCTTTTTTTTTGGTCTAACTAACTCCAAAAGGTTGGAAAAGAGTTCCTACAAAGGTTTTGGACAGTGATTTTAACCCTAACACCAAAAACCTTAAACCTTACTGTGACGGTTCCCTGGTGTCTAATGTATGCTTTTCCCTCTGTCAAGCAGGAGGTTACCAGGGGGCGGTCCGATCGGTTTGTGAGGTTGGCAGCACCTGGGCCCGGTGTCTCCCAACCTATAAATACCCCGCCTTCTCCACCAGTTCGCTCTCTCCTTCCCTCCGGGCGGATGGCTTTGTCTTTTGTTTTACGCATCCAACACCCTAACACACATTACACCCCGTATTCACTCATGCATGCACGCACCTACACAGCTGATCTACTGATCCTCACACCCCATGACTTGTTTGTGTTCACCTCCTAAGTTGCTGTTATACTGTTTTCTTAATAAATTCATTACGTTTACGTTAACTAGTGCATCTTCCGTTGTTTTTGTCGCGGCTGAAGAGCCTGGTCGTGACAAAAGTGGGGGCTCGTCCGTCTTGATTAGGTCTGTTTCGCGTTGAATGGTAAGCTAAGTAGTAGTAGCATTGGTGGGCCTGATTTTTGTGAATGGAAAGTGACGTAGTGGGTGACGTCACTAGCTTGTTGTGAGGGTTTCTCTTGGGGTTTCTCCGGCTTGCAGCGTGTCTTGTCTTTGTACACTGCGGCAGGAATCGGGAGATGCAAATGAGTTATGTATTTTGGGGTATTTGTTTAAATAAGTAATTTATTTCGCGGGATAGAAGGGGATTTTGTTTGGGTGTGGGTGTAAAAATGGTAACGATGTAAGGTAGGTGCTGTCGGCTGTGTATTAAGGCATCGGAAAGACTAAACGTGTGTTTTCCCCCTGTGAGGCTCAGAGGCGTTATCCCTTTGGATTTCGACCTGTTTATTGTTTTAATAGTGCTGCGGAGACCGTGGTTGGAGCATTGCGCTCGGGAGCACATCCGTGGTTCAGGAGGAGTCGCCAGCTAGTGGTTGCTTTTTCCTAGCCATTGGGTTTTAGTGCATAAATACCCGCCGCCAGTAACTGCATGAAGACTAGGTGAGTTAAGGTAGGTAGATTTTGGGTTAGGTAGTGAGTTAGAGGGGGGGGGACACTCGTGGGCGTTTGATAACTGTGCCTTTGTTTTGTGCCGGGTTTGGCTGCACTGTGCATTACGTTGATTACACCACACACACACCCACACTGGTAAGCGGAGATGGCAAGTGTGGAGGAATTTTTTGTTTCCCCGTCAGAGGAGTTTTTAGAGCAGTGCACGAGAGAGCAGTTGTTGAAAATAGCAGAGCACTACAAAGTTGATGTGGGTGACAAACGTTTAAAGGACAGAGTAAGGGCAGTATTAATTTCAACTTTGAGAGAAAAGTTTTGACCGAAGAACCGCCAGTTGTTTCTCCAGCCGCCCAGTTGCTTCCGCCCTCAGTAGCAGTGGGGCTTACATTTGACCAGCAGAAGGAGCTGCTTCTGTTGCAGCTGGAACATGACAAGTGTAAGCAGAAAGCGGAGCTGGAGAAAGAACTGGCTGTGGAGAGGATGCGTCAGCAAACGGAGCAGGCCAAATTGGAATTTGAGCATTCTAAATTGGCACTGATTAAAGAGGGAAAGCTGATGGCTACGGGTGAGTTGGCCAATGATTGTGTTGTGGGTCAGTCCACCGATAGTTTTGATGTGTTGGGCAATTTGCGTTTTTTGCCAAAATTTTGTGAGAAAGATCCTGAATCATTTTTTTCTTTGTTTGAACGGGTCGCTGATGCACGTAAATGGTCGGATGAGGTGCGCACGCTATTATTACAGTGTGTGTTCACTGGCAGAGCACAGGAGGTCTGCTCAGCATTAACAGGGGAGGAAAGTCGTAAGTACTCTCAGGTGAAATCGGCAGTTCTAAGGGCTTATGAATTAGTCCCAGAAGCCTATAGGCAGCGATTTAGAGCTTGGAAAAAGGGAGAAAGGCAGAGTCACTTAGAATTTGCACGCGATTTGGCTACCCATTTTACGCGCTGGTGCGCTGCGGCGAGTGTGGATGATTTTGATGGTCTCTGTGAGCTTATCATATTGGAGCAGTTTAAAAATTCACTGCCGGTGCGAGTGGCAACCTACCTCAGTGAACGAAAAGCTAGAAACGCGACTGAGGCGGCGGCTCTCGCAGATGATTATGTGTTAACTCATCGGAATAGTTTTAGTGAGCCCCGGCTGGGCAGTGTAAACAGGGAGTCATTCGGCCGACCCCTTAAACACTTTCCAAGTGATAAACAGAGTGGCAGTCATCTAGGTGATTCGGACAAACTTTGTAATTACTGTCACAAACGCGGACACTGGAAAGCAGACTGTCAATGGCTGCGGTCTAAATCTAAGAGCACTTTTGGGGATCATGCGAAAGGGGTCGCTTTGGCTGTGCCCGCGCGTCAGTTCGTCACTTCTGAGGTTGTGCATGATACCGATTCTTGTCCGGAGATGGATTCGTACCGACCGTTCATCACCGAGGGGTTTGTGTCTATGGTAGGAAGCGATACTAAGGTGCCGGTGACTATTCTGAGGGACACGGGAGCATTCGATTCATTCATCAGGGTAGGAGTTTTGCCTTTGTCGAAAGACACAGAGACGGGGAGCTCTGTTCCTGTCCGGGGAATGGATCTCAGCGTCCTGTGGGTCCCAGTACATAACGTAACGCTTCAGTGTGATTTGTTTCAGGGGGAGGCTGGTCTCGCGCTGCGCCCGGTGTTGCCTATTCCAGGTGTGTCGGTTATTCTCGGAAACGATTTGTTAGGGGCGAGAGTCTGGGCAGGGGTATCACCACCCGTCGTGGTGGCGCCGACACCGTTGGCGAGATTGAAGCCGGATGAAAATGAACGTGATTTTCCGGAGATTTTTTCAGCCTGCGCCGTTACGCGTGCCATGGTGGCCGCAAAGTCCAAGGTTGACACAGATAAAGAGGGTGTCCGTGAAAGATTTGCATTGCCCCTGTCTGACTATCCTCTGTCCATATCTCGCAGTGACCTAGTGGCCGAGCAGCAGTCTGATCCCTCCCTGAAGAAGCTGTTTGACCAGGTTCGACCGGCGAGTGAGGTGTGGGACAGTGCTTCCGGTTATTTTTGCCACGACTCTTTATTGGTGAGAAAGTGGGTACACAGCGCGAACGTAGTGGGGGACCCAGTGGTCCAAATAGTTTTGCCAGTAAAGCTGCGGGAGTGTGTGTTGAAAGTTGCTCATGATGAGTCAGGTCATTCTGGAGTAAGAAAAACTTATGACCGACTCCTGAGACACTTCTTTTGGCCTCGTATGAAGAGGGATGTCGCGACTTTCATTAAAACATGTCATACATGCCAGTTAACTGACAAACCCAATCAAACGTTGAAACCTGCGCCTCTGTGTCCCATACCCGCAGTCGGACAGCCTTTTGAGCACTTGATTGTTGATTGTGTCGGTCCATTGCCCCGCTCTAAATCTGGTGCGAATTATCTTTTGACTATAATGTGCCAGAGCACCCGGTACCCTGCTGTGTATCGCCTGCGTACAATAACTACAAGGTCTGTGGTACGGGCGCTCTCCCAGTTTATATCTGTGTTTGGCATCCCAAAGGTGATTCAGTCAGATCGAGGGTCTAACTTCTCCTCTCAAATGTTCCAGCAGGTGCTGAAACAGCTGCGAGTCTGGCATAACCAGAGCTCTGCCTATCACGCCCAAAGTCAGGGAGCGTTGGAGCGCTTCCACCAGACTCTTAAGTCCCTTTTGCGCGCGTATTGCACGGAGCTGGGTAGAGACTGGGAGGACGGGTTGCCCTGGTTAATGCTTGCAGCAAGGGAGGTGACACAGGAGAGTACAGGGTTTAGCCCGAATGAGCTTGTCTTCGCACACACTGTCAGAGGTCCATTGGCTGCGCTGTCTAGCGGCTGGGTAGAGTCACAACCTCCAAAGAATTTAATTGATTATGTCAATGGCTTTAGGCACAGGCTGTACACTGCAGGGGTATTGGCCAAGGAGAAGCTGGAGTCAGCTCAGGGCAAGATGAAGCATCTATATGACAGGGGGCTGAGCGCCGTGTTTTTAGTCCTGGGGACCAAGTGCTGGCTTTGCTTCCAATCGTCACGTCACCATTCCAGGCAAAATTTACTGGGCCGCATACAGTGTTGGAACAAATTTCAGAGCTTAACTACGTGATTTCAACACCGGGTCGTAGGAAACCGACTCAAATGTGCCATGTAAATTTGCTCAAGCCGTACTACGCGCGCCCCTCGGAGACAGTTGCCGTTGACCCGCAGCCAAGTGTTCAGATCCATGCAGTGTGCGCGGTGGCCCCAGTGGTGTGTTCTAATCCTAGTCATTCGGAGTCTGATGACGAATTAAATATGCCTGACTCGGCTCTGTTACATGGGCGGCTTAAAAATTCTGAGGCTATGGCCCGGTTGGATAACCTGTTTCCACATTTAACAGAATCGCGCCGAGCAGAGTTGATCCAGGTGATCCGAGGTTTTCCGGACCTCTTCAGTGATACACCCGGTCGCACTCACTTAATTGAACATGACATAGATGTGGGGGATGCTGCGCCCATCAAACAAAGATTTTATCGAGTAAATGCAGATCGTCGTAAACATTTGGATGCAGAGGTTGATTACATGCTGGAGAATGGGATTGCGGAACCCTGCTCTTCCAGTTGGTCATCTCCCTGCTTGCTCGTTCCAAAGTCTGACAACACGCCCCGTTTCTGTTCAGATTTTCGTAAAGTTAACAACGTTACCAAGCCTGACTCTTTTCCATTTCCCAGGATGGACGATTGTATAGATCAGGTTGGTTCAGCAGCGTTCGTCAGTAAATTTGATCTGTTAAAGGGATATTGGCAGGTGCCCTTGACGCCGCGTGCGCGTGAGATAGCCTCTTTTGTGACACCAGCCGGTCTGTATTCCTATACAGTGATGCCCTTTGGCCTTAGAAATGCGCCTGCTACCTTTCAGCGTCTTATGAACCGCGTCATTGGGGACATGCAGGGCTGTGCGGTTTATCTAGACGACGTAGTGGTGTATTCGGATACGTGGGAAGAACATCTGGAGCGTATCCGGGAACTGTTCACTCGTTTGGCGGAGGCAAGGCTCACGGTTAACTTCGCAAAGTGTGAGTTTGCCAGAGCAACCGTTACATACTTGGGCCGTGTGGTTGGGCAGGGCCAGGTGCGGCCCGTAGATGCTAAAGTTCAGGCGGTGAAACAGTTCCCCGTTCCGGCAACGAAAAAAGAACTTATGCGCTTTCTTGGTCTCGTCGGCTACTACAGGGGGTTCTGTAGAAATTTTTCAACAGTCGTAGCACCATTAACTGATCTGTTGAAAGGAAAGGCGAAATATATTTGGACTCCGACTTGCGACAAAGCGTTCGTACAGGTAAAAGAGCTGCTTTGCTCTGCTCCTGTCCTGTCTGCCCCGCGTTTTGACAAGCCGTTTCAACTCTATGTAGATGCCAGTCACGCTGGAGCAGGAGCTGTCCTCATGCAGACGGATGATTTGGGAATCGATAAACCTGTTAGTTTCTTTTCCAAGAAATTTAACCCGTGTCAGCTAAATTACGCGGTTATCGAAAAAGAAGCACTTGCGTTAATTTTGGCTTTAAAACATTTCGACGTTTATGTTGGTGGCAGCGATGCCCCTACCATCGTGTACACTGACCACAACCCTCTAACTTTTCTTAACTCCTTGCAGTGTCCCAACCAGTGGCTGGTCAGGTGGTCGCTGTTCCTGCAGTCGTACTCTCTGGACAGTCGCTATGTGAAGGGGGCCGAGAACGTGGTGGCAGACGCGTTGTCTCGGGCTCCCCCGCGTGGCGACTGTGCCTAACTGTTTCCCTTTTGGTTCTACTCTTGCCTCCTCTCAATCTCTTAAATTGCTTCCTAGGTGCACCGGTTGCTGGGGTGGGGAGTTTGGGTTAAGGGATGTTGGACCAACGAAACAGTCTGGTACCTGGACTTGTAGTGTTCCACTGTGCTCACCTAGCCTGTAAAAATGTAATGTATGTTGGGTTTGGGTTGTTTTTTAGACTAGCACTTTAAATAAAAAAATTTAAAAAAAAAAAAGTTGACTGGATACGGGTGCACTGATATGGTGTTACTGTGGGGTATTGTGTTTATGTTGGTCTGTTTGCTTAGGTTTGTTTAATCCCGGGATTCCCTTCAGGACCCCGTTCTTGTGGGGGTGGGTGTGACGGTTCCCTGGTGTCTAATGTATGCTTTTCCCTCTGTCAAGCAGGAGGTTACCAGGGGGCGGTCCGATCGGTTAGTGAGGTTGGCAGCACCTGGGCCCGGTGTCTCCCAACCTATAAATACCCCGCCTTCTCCACCAGTTCGCTCTCTCCTTCCCTCCGGGCGGATGGCTTTGTCTTTTGTTTTACGCATCCAACACCCTAACACACATTACACCCCGTATTCACTCATGCATGCACGCACCTACACAGCTGATCTACTGATCCTCACACCCCATGACTTGTTTGTGTTCACCTCCTAAGTTGCTGTTATACTGTTTTCTTAATAAATTCATTACGTTTACGTTAACTAGTGCATCTTCCGTTGTTTTTGTCGCGGCTGAAGAGCCTGGTCGTGACACTTACCCTAGCCCCAAAACCTAATACCCGGGTATTACCTTCAGGAAACCCGAACACCCCAAATATTTTTTTTTTCTTTTTCTTTTTTTTTTGTCTAACTAACTCCCAAAGGTCTAAAACATGTTCCTTAAAAAATATTGGACAGTTATTTTAACCCTAACGCCAAAAACCTTAAACCTAACCCTAGCCCCAAAACCTAATACCCGGGTATTACCTTCAGGAAGCCCGAACACGCCAAATATTTTTTTTTCATTTTTCCTTTTTTTATTGGTCTAACTAACTCCAAAAGGTTGGAAAAGAGTTCCTAAAAAGGTTTTGGACAGTGATTTTAACCCTCACGCCAAAAACCTTAAACCTTACCCTAGCCCCATAACCTAATACCGGGTATTACCTTCAGGAAGCCAGAAAAAACCCAAATATTTTTCTTTCATTTTTCGTTTTTTTTGGTCTAACTAACACCAAAAGGTTGGAAAAGAGGTCCTACAAAGGTTTTGGACAGTGATTTTAACCCTAACACCAAAAACCTTAAACCTTACCCTAGCCCCATAACCTAATACCCGGGTATTACCTTCAGGAAGCCCGAAAGCCCCAAATGTTTTTTTTTTTCATTTTTCGTTTTTTTTTGGTCTAACTCCAAAAGGTTGGAAAAGAGTTCCTACAAAGGTTTTGGACAGTGATTTTTACCCTAACACCAAAAACCTTAAACCTTACTATAGCCCCATAACCTAATACCCGGGTATTACCTTCAGGAAGCCCAAAAACCCAAAATATATTTTTTTCATTTTACATTTTTTTTTGGTGTAACCAACTCCGAAAGGTCTGAAACATGTTCCTAAAAAGGTTTTGGACAGCGATTTTAACCCTAACGCCAAAAACCTTAAACCTTACCCTAGCCCCATAACCTAATACCTGGGTATTTCCTTCAGGAAGCCCGAAGACCCCAAATATATTTTTTTCTTTTTTCTTTTTTTTTTGGTCTAACTAACTCCAATAGGTTGGAAAAGAGTTCCTACAAAGGATTTGGACAGTGAACTAACCCTAACACCAAAAACCTTAAACCTTACCCTAGCCCCTAAACCTAATACCCGGGTATTACCTTCAGGAAGCCCGAACACCCCAAATATATATTTTTTTTCATTTTATATTTTTTTGGTTCAACCAACTCCAAAAAACCTTAAAACCTTAACCTAGCCCCATAACCTAATACCTTCAGGAAGCCCGAACACCCCAAATATATATTTTTTATTTATCTTTTTTTTTGGTCGAACTTGCTCTCAAAGGTTGGAAAAGAGTTCCTACAAAGGTTTTGGACATTGATTTTAACCCTAACGCCAAAAACCTTAAACATTACCCTAGCCCAGAAACCTAGTATTACCTTCAGGAAGCCCGAACACCCCAAAAAAATTTTTTTTCATTTTACATTCTTTTTGGTGTAACCAACTCCAAAAGGTCTGAAACATGTTCCTAAAAAGGTTTTGGACAGTGATTTTAACCCTAGCCCCATAACCTTAAACCTTACCCTAGTTCCATAA